GAGCAGTTATAGCAGGGACTCTAAACCGTAGGCTCAGTGTACTCAAGTGGTTTGTGTGCACTTTAAAGAACTCAGTACATCCTTTGAGAAGAGTAGGTGGTTACCCCTGTATACTGGTCCATTCAACCCCTGTCATTTGTGGACAGACGAAAGTGCACCTTTTGGCAGCTGATTGACATGATGTGACCTTTACCTCCTACCTTTATGATGTGATGTCATCATGACCTTATTTAGGCGTGTCACCTGTTTTTGCCACATGAAATTTGATAGTCTGGTCAGAGCATTAAAGATTAGGTTTATAATGATTACATTTCTACATTCTGTACAAAGTAATGAATAACTAAACAAATTAAACTTTGGTGCTAAAATATAAGTATATAAATTTTTCTGATTCATTTTGTTGTCAAGAATTTGAAACACCAATACCATATTGTGAGGTATTTTAATTGCGCGGATGATACCATTACATAAACTCATGGCCGCCGAAACCGCACTCGGGCCCCGGGACATCTTCGCTGCCCGGGCCATTGGTTGGGGTGGGGTGGGGGGGGGGGGGGGGGGTGGTGGGGGTGTTTATTCGATGGAGGCGTTTCAGTGGCGGCTCTAGGATATGTTTTCAGGGGGGGGGGGCTAACTTGTCCGACAGGGGGACTTGAGCTCGTAGGCTCGAGCTGGAGAAAGGGGTTGAGAGGAGGTTCCCCCTCCCAAATATGTCCAGGGTCCAAGAATTTTATAATTAGGGCCTATTAATTAATAACGTAAAGAGTTTACTATTTGATACATTGTAAACATAAACTGCAAAGTAGTAGTATTCATGAAAAAAAATCAGAAACGATTAATTACCAGCTTTCATCGATAAACGGTCAGCTTTTTGCAATTATCGTGGGAAAACACATGAATAATACTGGATGAATGTATACGTTTAAATATTTTTATTTACTTATATCATTTTATTATTGTTTACGTAGTTATCCCGGGCCCGAGGCAGTTGCCCCGGTTACCCCTGCATCTCGGCGCCACTGCATGATAAACTAGCTCAAGCTGGCGGCGCACTCCCCGGGTAGGCAAAAGATTATCAGGCAAATGCTTTGGGAATAAGTACACGGGTTTGCTTTATTTTTGTGGTGCCAAAAATATGAAAGCTATATGGATGAAATTCACTTATGGCATAGTTTTCGAATTAACAGAAAAATATAAATCTAAGAAATCACAGCATTAAGTCCTCGATAGGCCTATAAACTCATTGTTTACCACTCGGTGACGCTATGCTAATTTTCAGGACGAACGTTTTACATTCTTTTGAATGAATGAAATAATTACCCCGCAAATAATCATTACAGCAAAATAACAACTCCCTGCAGCAACGTTTGGTAAACATTACAATTGCCTAAAAATAATATTAAGACAGTCGAATGAATTGCATATCTACGACTGTGTTCAACAATGCCACAACAACGACACACATAATTGTGGTGCGTCCGAAATATCTTAATACTAATACACATAACATAAAAGTCAATACAAAGGAATGTTATACAGTATTCAGTATTTAAAAAAAAACCCCCCAAAAAACTATAATACACTAGTACAAGTAACAGATTGGAATTCAATTTTGGAGCACTCACAACCAAGAGTAAACAAATAAAAATCACTATCATGTTCAAATGCAAATTTACGCACATGTCATTATAAACATACCACCGTAAGTTGTACTAAAATAACATTTTCACCTAAACATATACACTTTTCTTTTTATAAGAACCAGTTAAATTTTGCCACTCAGTGTTCTTAATTTTTTGCCAATTTCAAGCTCAAAATGTTCTTATTTTGATCTTATTTATACACACTTATCAAACATTAAGGGATACTCAGAGAAAATCACGAAATCACTACATAATTTTGGAATTCAATCTAGCCTCAAACCAATACCCTCCGAGGGAAACTAGTATAAGTAAAGGACAGAACACCAAAAGAGAAAACCTCTTATGAGATGAAGTGCTCATCACCAGGTTGCAGCGAAATATATAGGGGAGACACAGCAAATTACGAGCCAGAGTCAACCAACATCGCAGACCTAGTGCAAGTGAAGCACAGGAATCGGAAGTCTTCCAACACCTCAACATTTCTGGACCAGACATCATCTAAACCAGACGTTCTTATCCTAGATAAATTGGTTCGAAAGAAGGGTTAAAGAAGCGATCTAGGAGAGCGTAGAGAACCCTAGTTTGAACCGAAAAGGAGGACTCCGTTTTCAACCAGGACTTGGGACCCGGTACTGCGCAGCATTCCTTGCCATCTGACTCGTGATTAATCCAACGAGTCAGTTGGCTGAAGACGTTCAGCGGAGCTGGACGAAACGCCACTCAACGTTAAATATAGTAAGTCCCAGTTTTTTATTTAAATATAATTTTATACTTAACACTTACTGGATGAATAACAATATTCACAGATTGGACAAATAATAACAGTTGCAGGACATTACGAAAAAGTGTCTACTAATCTATGTAGAAACTTCCTATTTCCGTTATGTTTCATTTCATTTAATTTCTTTAGGCACGAGGGCCAAGGATATGCCAATAAGTGAACTTAATCACTGTCCTACGTGGCATATCCATTTATCAACAGGGGACTTATGGACCAGTACACGGGGGTAACTCCCTACTCTTCTCGAATGATTTACCGGGTGCACACGAGCCAAATGCGTACACTGGGCCTACGGTTTAAAGTCCTTATCCGAGAAGACTTGTTCCACCACCGGAACCATTGGCGAGTGAGCCGTTCGAACCAACGCCGATATTAGAGCTAAAGGTCACGGTGCCCCTGACTTAACCGCTCGGCCAATCAACTCGCCAACATGTCACAAATATATAATTTCTAAGAGAAATGTACAGTTAAGGCCCTATAAATTAATGGTCTTACTTCATTTTAACCTTCTTAAACATATACACTTTTCTTTCTATAAGAAACAGTAAAATTTTGGCCAGTCTCAGTGTTCTAATTTTATTTTGGCCGATTTTAAACTCATAATCTTCTTATTTTGTTCTTATTTTTACACTCCTTTCAAACATCGAAAAATATATTTTACAGCAGTATATTACTGCTGTAATAAAGAAGGTTTTGTATATATATTACATCACACCAACCGCACATAAGGAGGCCCTACAGATAAAATTTGTTGGTTTTCTGACCTTATGACCTCTAGAGCCCTTAGAGCATATACATAAATAATAGTTATAGCATATTAACAAAAGCTGTCTACTAATCTATGTGGAAATTTCCTATTTCCTATCAACATGTCACAATTATATAATTTCTAAGAGAAATGTACAGTAAATAGTAAGGCAATATAAACTAATCGCCTTACTTCATTTTATCCTAGTTCCTACCTAATATACACCTTTCTTTTTATAAGAACCAGTTAAATTTTGTCGCTCTGTGTTCTTTTTTTTTTTTTGCCAATTTCAAGCTCAAAATGTTCTTATTTTGTTCTTATTTTTACACATTTTCCAAACATCAAAAATTATTATTTTACAACAGTATACATGTATTACTGTACTGTAATAAACAGGGGATTGTATAGATTACATCATACCTACCGCACATAAGGTAGGCCTTACAGATAAAATGTGTTGGTTTTCCTGACCTTATGACCTCCAGCCCTTATACTGTCTCTTATACACATCTAGATGTGTATAAGAGACAGATACAGTATTCAGTATAAAACCTATTAACTATGATTTTTTAGTATAGATGTGTATAAGAGACAGGTATATGTATATGTATATATGTATAAACCTCAGTTGACGTTTTGCCCTGGCTTCAAATTTGTTCTTTTATTGTTCTTAATTTTTAAGCAATTTAAGCTTCAGTGTTCTTATAAAATGTGTTTACCCTACAATTTCAACACTAACATGACTATAAGCTGCTCGAGGCTGCCTCTCCTTGTATTTCAGCTGGAGGGCTGAAATACACGTTACAATAGCGCACCGTCTTTCCGATGAGACGTTTAAGCCGTTGGCCCCGTGTACATTTATGGCTCATGTGAACGTTAAAGAACGCAGTAAATACACTCTTCGGAAAAGAGTGGGGGATTGTACTCCGGGAGTACTGCCCAATCCCCACCAGAAGGACCCCACTGGAATTAAATCTTCTTCTAGACTTTTGTGGGCTATCCTTAATGTTTACACCGAATAAATCCAATCCAATCAGATCCTACTAAAGTTAATCATGGACACAGTAAATGCATAACGTTCACCACCACATTTATCTATGAGTTGTCTAGGTGAAATACGGTAACCTGGTTTAGGGTCTAGGCCCAATGATGTATTTCCGTAATGTGTGTGTATTTCCGTCTGTAATTGGGCGAATCTTCTTTAGTGGTCATGGATTTTTTTGTTCTATTCTATCAAAACTAATCGCGATGTTTGACATACTAGAGGGTAAGCGAGCGAAGTCCAGAAAAGGCAGCCAATCTCCATATTGTGATTAAGGCTTCCTTTCCTTTACTGCAATAATAGGTTCGTTCATGTTCATAAACATTTAGAAAATAATTTGAGAGAGTGGACAAAAAAAATCTCTTTTAATACCGTTTTAAACAGTTTATTGTCGTATCAACTTGCTTGGAGTGTCCTAACTCCTTTGTTTTACATGTATTTAAGAGATTGATTTTAGTTCATTAGTACAGTCACCTGGAGAAGTTCACCGCGTGAACGAAAGCTTGTGCTAATAAAATATTTGTTAGTCTTCAAAGTGCTTCCTGTCATTTTACTGTTTATTATATAATTCAGACTAACACGGTTACGCTACTATTTCATTTAATTTGGAAATAATAGGACATGTCTTTCACTCCATCCATTTATCTTGAGTATTAACTCCGGCACAGTAATTTACAAAATAGACTTTTTAATGAGGTAACCATCAAGCCTGCACGCCCGCCACACACCGGTATTAATTCTTTTGTGACTGAATGAATATGAATTTTCTATTAAATAACTAATAAATAAATAGGCCTATGTATGTAAAAATGCATGCTCAAATGATTTATCAGCCCCGTAGCTAGACTCGTTGATTAGGTCTAAATTTAGAAATATTGCTAACGTTCAAATAGGAGAGAATCGCAAATACCAGGAAAATCTACACTCACGAATACAAAATCAATCAAACAACATGCATATAAATTGCAGTTTCATACTTGGATGACATTCTTACAAATCTTGGATGATACCATTATGTCACTAGGCGTTCAGTCTCAAACTGTTTTTCTTTTTAAATTACTTACATGTCTTTGCAGGGGTTGTGATTCATAGATAGGGACGTCTAAACACCTTTTAGGGCGGAACCCATATTTCTGTGACAACAGAGTGCCCGCATGTAAGCCATTCGAAATTCAGGAATCCGCCACCAGTAAATAAACATGTTCGCTGCTGAATTCAATGGGATAAACGTATCAAGAATGATGAGAGACTTAAATAGTCCTAATGAAAATGTAGCTAATGAAATTTCGAGAATTATAATATACGGAATGTAGCATATGATGAATATTCCAGCAACCAATGTGAATGTCTTTATCATTTCAACATGTTGCTTTCTTTTCTTTCTCTCTGATCTATTGGCTGATTGTCTGATCTTTGTATCATGTCGCCTTACAACTAAAATAATCACAAGATATATGATAAATGTTAAAACTGGTGCACATAGCATTACAAATTGGCCTACAACCCATATGTCAATTTCCATGTTTGTAATTGGAAATATATTAGCTAAACTAATGGTTACAAACCAATCTATGACTATTATAATGGTCAATCGCTTTTTTGTGACGTACCGACTATGCTGAAATGGAGCAACAATAGCAAAACAACGTTCCATTGCTATCATTATAATTGTGAGTGAAGATGAAGTAAGTAGTAGCATACTCGCTATAATGCCCAAATTAATTGAATTTTTTTTTGTCCATAGGCCTGTCATTTCAATTACAGATAAATAAACCATTATACCCCCTATTATAGCATCCTTTATGGCGAGGTTTATTATTTGGTAATTACTGAATTTCTTACGTATTTCTTTCTTAGCTAATGCAACAATGACTGTTAAAACATTGCCAAGAAAAGCAACGCTTCCGAAAACAGTCGTGAGAACATTTCGTACGAATACCCAAGTTGCAAGTGAATCTTTGAGCCATAAATCTGAAAGTAGAAAAATTATTTTTCAAGATGATCATACATAATTAATGTATAGTGGAATTTGAGGAAATTAAGCATTTAACAGATTCAAGTTGAAGTTGTGATCTAATCCTAAGACGTTTGACTGTATGTTATGTGTAGATTAAATGATAAACCAACAAGCAGTTTCAACTAAAGAAGCATTCTATTGTAGAAATTACAAAAATATGCTGATTATATTACCTTCAATACTTGTGTTTGAATATAAATACGTCCATGAAAAATTGACATATCCACCAGAATTATCAGTTGGCTCTTGCATTTCCATTCTTGAACTATTTCACAAGATTAAAATATTAACAGAGATAATTGATCAACTGTGTGATGATGTCAATAGTATAGTAGGTGTATAGTTATGTTAGTATAACACAATATTGTAATTTATATAATTCCATATTTTTTTTTTATTATGCCTTAACACTAACATCGTATATATTAAACAACATTTTTTATTTATCATGAAAGCTATATATTATAATTTATTTATTTTTTTTTTATCTAGGTGTAGGATAGGTAAGTCTAGATGCTGGCATCACTCGAGCATCTGTGAATTACGAGCAGGCTGGCCTATGCGCCTTAAATTGCAGACGAACGATGCGGCTTTAGCTAGTTTCCGTGCATAGGTTTGTTTCTTGTTATTATTTTAGATAGGAACAATTTCATGATTGATAATTTTGATACGATGCATTTTAATTCACATTTAATTCAAGTCAGATTACAAACTTGCTTTAGTTAATAACAAATATTTCCTACTGGAAATTGACTAATACAGGTATTATCATTATCATTTATTATTATTATTATTATTATTATTATTATTATTATTATTATTATTATTATTATTGAAAATAATTTAATCCTTATCACAGATCTTAAGTTGCTCACAGAGAGATACATTTTTTCAAAGTCTGCTAACTCATCCCCCATAATTTATTCCAATTAAAATGAGATAAATTGTGTTACAGTATAAGAAATTTAATATGACTTCGCCTACAACAGCAAGCAATACCTCTGATGGTATAGTCGAATCAGCAACAGTCGGATTGTGCATGCAACACTCTGATTGTACTGTATAGTCAGCAACACTGATTATCAGCAACACAATGACTGTTTATGTAGCAACGCTATAATTGTGTAGTCAGCAAGCAATACTGTGATGGTATAGTCAGCAATCCAGTTTGTCTAGTCACAGCACTCCTGATTGTGTAGCATTCAACACTCTGTAAAGTCAGAAACAATCTGATTTTTTAGTATCTATATTGTCTAGTTGTGTTAAAGTAACGTTTGTAACTGTCTTGAAATAATTTTTTATATTGTAAATTTTACATTTTGTAACACCATGTAATTTAGCTTATATGCTGCGAATTGGTTTGTTGAAATAAAAGATATAAAGATATAAAGATATAGTTCACCAACAATATATTTAGTCAAACAAAGATGTTAATTGTTGGAGGGAATCTACTTCGCTAGATATGACAGTTGGAGACTTTTATTGCTGAAACTTTATTGTTATTGTATTATGTACGGTATATTGATAACTAGTTTGGGTTCTGGAAAGGTGATTATTAAATCAACTTAAATTAGTCATATTAAAGTGAAGACTATGAATAAATCAAATACAATACATGGTATTCGGCAATTAATGTCGAACATAATATTTTGTGTTAAATTCATCATAACATTTTTCTTTTATAATTTTTGATAATATTTTGGACTTGGAGGAATTATGCGTTTCCCCAGAAAGCACACAGGCGTTATATAACTGGTCCAACCTCCACCTGTAATCATTGCCTTCATCGTCATAATTATCATTAGTTTTTGCGTTTGCATTATTTATTGCACGTTAAGGTGGTTTTCATTCTTTTCATTACAATATACAAATCATTATTCACTTTCTTGGCAACCTAACATAACGTGATTTTGACCCACTCGGTGTTAAGCTCAAGAAGAGTTTTACCGATTAGTTATAGATCCAGATCATCACCATAACCACTTTCATTTGATATCTTCTCACACAAAAAAATAGCATCATATTTTCTTATGTTGCGCACATGGATGTGGCAAACACAGTGTATACGGTATGAATTGTGTATACCCTTCTACAACAAATGAACGCTCTCAGAAGGAGTCACGCCCTATTATTCATAAGAAATCAAAACTTTAAGGTAATAATGATATGTACAGTACATTTTTATATAGCACGCTGCACATCTCTTTGAGTCTCAGAGCGATTCTCTAGGTTACTACCGAAGTCATTGGAACGATGCCTATGGGTGAAATTCCATAGTTTGCCGTACGACATATATCAGTGGCGTTTTTTCCACACGTAACTCCTCAGGTAGCCACTTATACTCCTGGGCGGGGAGAGACAACATAAGAGTACCTTACCCACGGACAAGCGACTTCCACTGTGGAGGTTTCAAATCCCGACCTCAAGGTTAAAAGCCCGAGCCAAAACCAGTGCGCCAACCACTTTCATGTTATAAACAAAATATAATAATAAAAATGTTTTCATCTGAAATGTCAAACTGGTATTAGGTTATGCCTAATACATTTATTTAACTATAATAATTATAATGTTGAATACTTTTATGTTTATTTACTATATACTTAATAAATATTATAGTCTGTAATAGTTTTGTCTGTATTAACCATATTGTAGAGTGTATGTACAAAGTTTGTCCTAAAGTGCCCTTTATAAATTTTGTTGTTCGAATCACCTGTTGGGTAATATTCTAAATAAGGTTAAGGGACTGTTGAATCTGAGTTGTGTGATGATGTCATCTACAACTTCATCCTTAAGAAGATGTTGCATTCCCAAATTCATCTTAAAGTTAGTAAATTCATCTTGCAGTTATGTGGTGATGTCATAATAATCTCCCCCACATATCCTGTTCATAAATGTATAAAATGGGATACAATCCTATCATTTAGTTAGTCCAAAAGTTCTAATGTTATCATCAGCTTTATTACAAGTATGTCTGTCTGCCGTAGTTCATTAAGTTTATCTATTAGACCTTGCAGGTCTCGGACACCAGTATTTAATCCACCTTACTTAGCCGTGGGCTCAGCTAATTCTGTAAGTTTTCGAGCATCTTAAATTATTTAATTGTGTTTTACCATCATCATCATTTGTTCTCTTTTATAATAATATATCTATGTTTTTATTAATAAATTACATATTGTATATAATACTAAGCTATTGTGTTTCCTATTCCCTGTTTGTGCTCTGCATATAACACTGGTATCAAATCAGAATAATAAAGAATTTATACCAAACAACTCCTAAACAAATTATAAGATGGATATATAAAACCTAATGCTTCGAAGAATGAAAAACGTATTACAGAACCAACATGATTAGACCATTTGACTTCTTCTGGAAAGTGATTTAATTTTATTCAATTTTATATATTCATGTTAAGTGACGACTATGAATATATCAAATACAGTACTTGTGGTAGATTGTTTAAGTAATTAGCTCTTGATAAAAACGCTCTCGTTATATTGAAATAATAAAAACTCTTTGACTTACTATCCTCTGCAGTAGAGCAGAATATCATACGTGCATTGGTGTTGCCTTGATTTTGATTTATATATTTAAATTATAAACGAAACATCAGCTTAACGCTGTTTATAGAACAGATTCCAAAAATGCATCGCTACTTATTCCGTCTTTAAAAATCTTCTGCTAATTAAACTTCTTTGAATGAGAGTTTCTGGTTGTAAATGTGAATATGGGTTGAATGGGGTTTTTTTTTTTATTTGTGGAACGCATTTTCGATATTTTTGTTAGTTTTGGCCTCAATGTTATGCATATTTAAATATCCTTTAATGTTGTATAAATGTGTTTTTAATTTTTGGTTTATATTTTAAGTAATTTTAAATACAATTTTTTCAGTGTTCGTTGCCCTTTGTATATTTTTTTATGTGTATAGACCTATACATCGAAATAAATAAATCAATTAATTAAAGTCAGCACTTTCAGTGACGCGGAACTGTTGACATCAGGTGGAAGAAGTAGGCCTAGTAAGGATGTGCCGCATAGCTCTGGTTAAGAATGTATTCTTTAAGCACAACGAATTATTAACAGGAAAGATGAAATTATAGTTAAAGGAATGTCGCTTTATGTTTATATTCCAAACTATACACTATTGATGAATTGTAAAGTTTTTTAAGCTAAGCATTTAATATAACAATATTCAATCGAATATTTACTTATAAATCTTCTTTATAAGCTTTTTCTGCCTACCGGTATAAATAATATTTAATGTTGTAGGACAGCTTCAATTACTGTCATACAATTTGGATTCAAATTGGGTGTCCACCAATAACAATACTTAGTTGATAGTCTTATTAAAATTTGTAATCTACCAACATGAACTCGTGCTGAAATTAATTCTATGGTGTTACATGATACATTTTCCAACAATTTTAATTACATTATTTTTCTGGTCTTCTGTTAACCATCCTGGAAATGCTATACCAACATTAAGTACACACAAATGTATGCGATTATCTAAATATGTTAATGCACTCATTAACATATTATTTAGTTTCATTTATCATTCATCCATAAAACAACACACGATGTTTTCTTTAGGATTATCGTTCTTGTCATCTTTTGACATAACTTCTTTCAACCTTTGTAAATTATAATTATTTGGTGAAGATGGGGATTAAAAAATTAAACACATCTTATAGAATTTTCCCATCTAAATTACATAGCATGTAATGTTAGCAAATGGACCTACCCATTTTGCAGAAAATGTTCTTGATGGTACAGTTATACTACTAATGTCGGGTTTACCCACTAATGATGAACCAGCATCTGTTATTAAAGTCAATGGTACTCCAAAAATAGTAAAGACTTTCTGAATTAGTTCTTCACAAACGACTTCTGCTGTTATCATTTTCAAAGCGGGTACGAATAACATAACTTGTCATAGCACAACAAACTATCATGATATGTTTATATCCTGAGTTACTTTCAGGCATTGATTTAAATCAAGACTTATAGTTTCAAATGGAATAAACTCTCTTGGTATCTTTTTTGATGATACAACTTCATGTTGTCGGTCTTTCCTTTAATCTGTTGACACCGAGAACATATAGTTAGTGATTCGTTCAAACATAAATTAAAAGTAAAATTTCTTTCTCACTGTTACATAAGTTTTGAGACAAGCCTGGTGTGGGGTTAATAGTGAATCACGATATTTTTCAATAATTTTGTCCATGTAACTTCCTGTTATCACCAACTGTAGGTG